ACCGAGAGCTCCAAAGGTGGGTATTCAGTAGTACCCACTAGTGAGTTGATCATCGCGCTCAGAGCTTGAGGATAGGGCGAAGGCTGAGGCCGCTAAGTCCCCAGCTGACATTATGAAGGAGCTGCAACAGTTCACACCTGAGGGGCCGTCAACGACACCATTCCCAGGGGCAAGGGCTGAAGGGCAGGTAAGAGGGGGGAGGGGGAGGATGCAATGAGCAATGGCTCATCCTATCATCCTGGTCCTATTTTCATCTGTTCATGAACTTGTGAGGAACTTAGTTTTTTGAGTATTGTCGATAGTTTATATCATCAGGCGTCGTCCCTTCCTCACTTCGACCATGTGCCCAACTGGCGAGATCTGCTCGGCCCTAGCCTCCATTCGAACGTTTTCGGGGAGGTTCCTGACGACGGGTATCATATCAGAGTTAAAGCACTAGATGATGACTCGTTTGCTGGAGATGCGGTAGTAGGGGGTGTAGGGAGGGATGATGTGAACGATTTGTGGTATGTAGAGTGACGATGGCTCAGAGCCGCCCTTTTGACTTCCTAGCCGATCCAAGATGGGGACCATGAGAACCTCTGATGTTGTCGAGTCCGAGGGGTTGAGTTGGTGTGACGGGGTGACTGTGATTACGCCAGCTGATTTTTCTCGATCGATCATGATGATGATGCCCTCGGCTAGCATGCCTCGTCGCCCTGATGAGGCTCCTAACTACGAGACCGCTCCTATGGAACACAAGAATGAGTTCAATCCTTACATGGACAATGGAGGGTAATGTGTGATGGGTGATGTTTTTCTGATGTTACTGCTGTTGTCAGGACCTGCATCGCTGTTCCTGGTGCCGACTACTGCGTGGTCTCGACTGACAATCGTGTTAGTAAAGGGTATTCTATCGCAACCAGGAATGGATCTAAAATCACCAAACTGTGAGTAAAATGCTTAATAGTTATATCTCGGTACTTGGTGATGACAGGACGGAGCGTTGTGTGATTACTACCAGTGGAATGTTGGCCGATCA